AATCTCTACTCCAAATTTTAGCCATACACACATGTAGTTTAGGTTCTATGATGCAAACATATGGATAACATATTCTGAAAAAGTCACCATTGCATTGAAGGGATAGATAGCTATGCCATTGTTTCAACTTTCAAGCTAGTGGCTGCACACCCATGAAGAAAAAGAGATATATATCTCCAAGCCCAACCACTAAATGAAAATATAATCTCCTAAATCACAGTAACATTTATGTTGGACATGGATCTTTCTATTCTTTTTTCAATGGTCGACATCTGTATATGTCAACAGATTCAATTGATTTGAAAAATGACAAACAAAATTTGACAATTAAAATGAACTAAAGCTACTACTAATGTGTGTAAACCTTGATCACTGAAAAATAAAAATTAGAGAATCTTTCAATTATTGTGAAACTAGAAGAAAACCTAATCCCTAGAGAAAGGTTTTTGTTTGGTCAGAATTAGATGAAAGGAGAGCAACAGGTGCTTTTGTGGTCCTTTGCCATGACCATGCATAGCCACTTGTCTACCTGTAGAGATTCACTGTTTCTTTTTTCATATCTAAAGTTGGATAATGATACTCGTTGTGCTTCGGAAGACAGGTTTCACACGTTACTGCTTCAATTCAGGGCGGAGCTGAATATTTATGGGTGGACGCTGAATATTTTAATAAATTTAATTTTTTTTTTTGTAATTGATAAAAATAGGATAATGTATTTATATTTAATTATGTCGGGATATTAGGCGACTCGCCAGTGAAGAATCGACACAGGAATGCCAACAGTTGGCAGAACGCATGCAATTCATTAAAAAGAGGAGTCGAGAAGGTATGATGAACGGGCCAAGTATACCCCTCGGAACCCAATATTAAAAGAGACCTGACAGCTCATTAATGTAGGTTTTAATTGGTTTGATAGACTATTAATAAGTGTCTAGATCTTCGAAGAATGTGGAGACAATAATCATTAGGAGGCATTAATGGCCACCATGCCGACATGGAGACTTCGGTGGATCCCGAGTGTATTAGTTTCCTCCTCATGAAAGCTCGGGCATAGGTTCCAAGCCCCGATGTGAAAAATTTAATAACCGGAGATCCAACCATGAATGTTCAGTGTTTCCCGAGAAGGGATTCATTTGTCCGAACAGATTAATCTTAATGAGACTAGACAGAATAATACTCATTATGCTAGAAAGTGAACACATACCATTAAACTCTTGGATGTGACTCAGGGTTATCATTACAAATTCAGATATAAATATTTCTCAAAAATCTAAGCTAAGGTACACAATCTTGAATGAAGAATACATTGTGCATTAAGACTTACACGCCGACTGACTTGAGCTTTGAAAATAATTAGTTGGATACACACCTGGCTTCTTTCCTAATATTTCAATTGTTTCAGGTTCATCATTTAAGATCATCCAGAGGGTCGCTATCTCAACACATTGCAGGAATTCACCCGTGCAAATTATATCCTATCTAATAATTAAAAATTCATTAAACTCAAAAGACTAAAATTCGTAAGAATGCTAGAAATAAATGACAACAAAAAAGAGAGAATAATTATATCTTTTTACAAAACAAAGGCATAATTAAAACTATTTAGAATTGACTCCGATAAATTTTCATACTTTGAAAGTCTTGTATTAACTTTATTATTTTTTATATCCACAATTATGCTATCACTTAATTATTTATCGTTCATTTGATTACGCAAATCAAATGTATGTTCTCTATCATATCTATGATAAATACTAAAATAAATATCAAAATTACAAGTAAACTCACGAATATAACATACATTTTTTAGTCTTGACTAAAAAATAGGGTTGGCACAATTTAAAAAATCAAAATAAATATTTAAAATATATAAAAGTAATTTTACGAAAAAAAAAATTGTGAGGGTGGCCATGTGCCTCCCTGGGCATATGGTGTCTTCGCCCTTGCTTCAATTCCTAAGTTCAAATTTATATTGCAGTGACAAGTCTACAGGATAGGTTATTTGCTGATGCCTTTCAAAGAAAAATTGAAGTTGATTGGTAGAAAGAGTTTTGGCTGATACACTTCCCCTTCGTTCACTTTATCCACCTGTGTTCTGGCTCATGTGTGGTTATGAAGAACTAAGGCCTTATTTAGGTAATCAAACCTACCCTTATTGGTTTTTGAGACTGGTTACGAAGTGGCCTCTCTTACCAAGCCAGTTCAGATGTACCAAAACTTTAGTTCGGGTATACTGAGATTTCCTTCAAAATACATGTCCAAACATCAGCACTCACAAAGAATAAAACTAGTGCTTTTTGTGACTCACAAGGACGCATGAACACATAATTAGTTACAATCTCGAGGATAACTCAACTGATAACGGGGACGGTCTATATTTTCAAACATCTTAATTTTTAAACAAAGTTTCATGAAGTTGAATTGAGTTTAATAATTATTAAATTTCGATCTATCACGACGGTTTTAAAATTTACGACCTATTTTATTTTGCAATCGTAAACTTTTCACCATTTCAAAACACAGGTTCTGAGATATTTTAACGTCATCGTTCTCCCAAAATTGACGAAGGATAGAGCTCAAGGAAGTTACTACAGTAAAAGTACTAGGTTCAAGGTAGTGGAACTCTTTGAACATAGACAAATTTTGTGTCTAAGAAAGACTCAGCTAACAAGAGTACAAAAGTTATAATCGAACATCAATACTTATGTCTGCCTAAAACAACATATGGAGACTAAAACCAATCTGTTCTTTCAAGTTAACCAATCTTTTCAGTCTTCAATTTTTTTAAATTTATCCAGTGAATAGAGAAAATGGTTAGCATATAGGCATGAAGTCACTGTTATGGCACCTATCATGATTTATACCCATTGAAAGGACCCTTCAATGAATACTATAAATTACACTAGCTTTTTAGGCAAGATAGTAACCCTTGTTTCGATTTTGATATTTTGGTCAGTCAATCAAAATTTTTTATTATGTCTTCTACGCAAAACTAAAAAATTAAACTTTACCATGACACTCGTCTTGTTGATGATCAATCAAATCTTGATGGTATACTTCTTATCTTATGAATCTTTCCAAACAATCAACCAACAATAAAGTTACTCAAATTTAGTAATTTAATCCAATTCAAAAAAATAAAACTTTGTAATTTGATGTAATTTTCCAATTTAATCTAATGTGTTAGCTAGAGGGTGATTGATTCTATTAAATATTTGATTTCACAATTAATCCGATAAAAAAAAATAGTGAATTAACCAAATCAATTATAGTAACAATAATATTATTTGAACCTAATTCCTAATAACAATTGGATAGTTGTGAGTCTCAACAAATATTAAGACATACTGTCAATTCAACGTTTATAAATGATTAGGTCAATAAATTTATGTAATAAACTTACTCTTATAGTAAATGCTTAGGTTAAACTAAGTGTAGAAGTTCTAAACACAACTTGCTAACCCAATACAAAATAAAGAGTATGAATTTAGTTTTTAACTAGATCTGGCAAAATAAAACATGATCCGATTACTTGACGTGAATCGACACAAAATTAGTGAGTTTGAGTTTGACTTTAACGGGCTCGAGTGATAAATGTGAGGACCCACCAAATCCGTATATTACACGAGTCGTGTTCGGTTAAAGTATATCAATTTGTTTATCACTCATTTACTAATTTAAATATTAGACATACATAAAAATTAGGCCTAGATATAAAATCTGTTCAATTTTAATTTAGAAGCTCTATATTATATTCCCAGCTCAGCCCATCAGCACAAGAAAGGTAAGAAAAATAGTCGCAGCTTGAACAACATATTGAACACAACGTGAGATTTTACAATAACGCATATATAATTTTTTTCACCTATATATATATATAATGAAAATAACCCATTTCTATATTCTTCTATAGAATTAATTAGAGGCCTCCAACTTTTCGAGAGAAAGAGTGTTGGAGACAAAAAAAAACACAATAAACAGATCAAACTCTTATCTTTTAAATGAATGGATTGCGTTCGATTTTTATAATTTTTATCCATTTAATAAATGAGTCATGTATGAGTTAAATGATTTTGAGCACGAACCCGTTTAACCTGATACGATTTTCATCATTGGTTTTAACAAGTTTATGTGATAAATAAGAAAACTTGGTAAATTCTTGAACTAAATAAATCAACACAAACTTGATTAAATACCATATAAATTTATTAGTTATTGCATGTGTCTGAAGGCACAGAGTAATAAAAAATAGTAAACAATAAATATATTTATATTCATATCTAAAATTAAATCACAAACATAGAGAAAAGATAAAAGAATTTAAGCATCGATTTGTAGTAAAGATGAGAGGTGGTGGGCGGCAGTGGTGGTCGTAGGAGACGATGATGATTTTGGTGGGTGGTGTAGGCAATGATGGTGGCGGTGGTGGTGGAAACAGTGGTGGTGGCGGTGGCGGTGGTAGTGGTAGAAATAGTGGTGGGACAGTTTCAAACACTAATTTTTTTAAAGTATTTATAAGAAATAATTTACATAAGTACTTTTACAAAATCACTGCAAACACATCCTTAAAGACCTATTTTTCCTATTAAGTTTAAGGTATTAATATTAGCCGTTAGATTAACTTTAAAATAAAATTTAAAACGATTTCAACCATGAATAGCAAAAATTATTTTGTTTATCTTTTGATATTTAAATTATAAACTAGTTTACTATAAAAATTAGCAACCAATTCTACCCTAATGCCAAATTAGATATATACCATTACAAATGTTTCAACAGTGGTTAAGTGAATTTTCCAAAACACCCATAATTTAGACACGATACGATCTATCGACAACGGTACGTTTATCAAACCAATTGGGGCGGTAAATAATTACATTTCTGGCGAAGGAAATTAACTGACGTGAATTCCTTTCTTCTTATGGAAACCCTAATTGATGTCTACATCACACAGACTTTGTACTTGTGTGATGGAAATTTCTCAGCAACTTATCCATTTTTCACAGCTTGTTCAGGTCGCTTTCCCTCACGAATAAGCCGTGGAAACCGTACGGCACACGGCGGGGCAGCCTCACGGCGGCGACAATTTCAAGATCAGGTGACTTGGCGTCCATGACCAAGAAATTCGACTCTCCTGTGTTTTCATCATGCACGTAGGTTACTACGTACCCGTCGTCCTCATCAGCCTGTGAATTCGCCGGCGATTTTGCCACAAAGAAGGGCTCGCCGCCGTAGCAGCCAGGTCCGAACATCCGACTAGCTACTATGCAGTCACGGCGGTCATCTTCTGATACTGATACGTCGAGCTTCACCACCCCTGATATCTTCGGCATTGGATCCCCCACCGCCGCATACACATACCTGCACAATTTCATTATTTTAAAAAACAATAATTTAATTCTAGAAGCATAAAGGAGGATTCAAATTTTGTTTCCGTATAAAATTTTAATTATTTTTATAAACAAAAATATTTTGAAAACAGTTAATATCCATAGGAAGCTACCATTTTTGATAATTTTGATAGCTACACAATAAAATTTAATTCTTTAATATAAAAAATATTAAATTTAGACTAAATGATCTAAGATTAATCAAAAATAAAAAATTTATTTTTTATTCATAATTTTAATTAGGTCAAAAGTAGAATGAAAATAGAAAAAAGATTATCCTTTGAAACCAAAACTTTTTGATCATTTTGATAAAAGCCAAACCAAAATTTTGATCAGTGTAACAAGAATCAAATTTGATAACTCAAAAAACATGTGATTTGTATGAAAAATTAATGAATTAATGTATGGATGACAATATTAAATGAGATGATTAATGAAAGTTTAATCCTTGAATCGGAAATTTGTCGCCGGACGTACTTGTTCTTCTTCCCCACATAAGCCGGATTGATCACTGCAAAGTCTAGATTCCTGGTGGAGACTGGGTGTCTAGTCACAATCCCGGTTTTGAGATCAATCTTCACCTTCTCCATCGATGCATGTATCAAATCCATCCTCTCCAACGTGTGCTCCACCGATAATATGTTCGGAGCCACCATCACCACTGCATCGCCACCATCCTCGTCCCATGCGTTAGTGGCATGTATTAAATTGAACCCCGGCACGTCAAACCACCTCATCTCTGATTCATCCTTAGCATATCTTGGGATTACTCCGAGTCTAGGCACTTTTGCTGGATCTGTACCCACCGGAGACCCACCTCCGACGATCATGTCAACTGGGTTCATCCCTATTTGTATGTCGGAAAAGATGGCATATTTTTTGGAAATGGCGAAGTCATGAAGAAAGGAAGGTCGTGTCATGGAGAAGATTGGGACGTCGGCTTGTTTTGTCCCGTCGGAATTGAATCGGAAAAAGGTTAAGAACGGTGGCATAGGTCCGTACCGGAAAGCAAATGCCTCTCCGGTGTCGGAATCGATCTTGGGGTGTGCTGTCATGCTCATGAAAAGCTTGCCATCGAAATCATGGCGACCTAGGGTTACGATATCACCGTCTTCGGCCACTTTTACGGCGTAAGGGAGGTCGGATTCGCCGAGCGCATAGAGACTGTCACCAAAGAGAGCCAAGCTAGTGTTTGCAAGGCCAATGCCGTTGCCGGGGTTGAATTGTCCGGCAAATACTCTGGCGGCGGTCACTGCACCACGCGCCGCCGAGGCGGTGAGGCCATTGAAGCCGGAGAAGACATTAGGGATCACCGGAGAGCCCACGTCTCTCTCCACGACGTACTTGTAGGTCCTGACGTAGCGACTACAGAGAATGGCTCGACCTTGAGAAATCTTGATAGCGTGAAGCATTCCATCGCCGTCGAAGAGATGATAGGGTCCACGAGGGAGGAACTGTGGGTTTGGGCCGTTTCTGATGTACGCGCCGTCGAGGCACTGTGGGAGGGAGCCATATATCACCTCACACTCCGTCGGAGGGAGCTCTTCGACAGGGGCAAAGTTGTCGGAGAGTACATGTCTTGGGTCTACCGATGGTCGGAGAGGTGGGTCAATGAAGTTGTTTATGATGTCGTCGAATGTGTTGAAGATGATCGCCGGTAGAGACTGCTCTACTGGCCTCCTTGCCGGCGGTGGAGCTGGTGGTACTGCTCTTTTTGAAGTGTATATTGATGGTTTGTAGTTCTTTGTCGGTTGAGAAGTTTTTGGTGGTGGTGGGGGTAGATTGTGGTTTTTCTTCAATTCTGACGGAGGAAACAGTGAAAGAGGTTTTGGTGGTGGTGATAGGAGAGAGAAGAGGTTTCAGGTGGGACAATGGTGAGAGGAAAGAGGAAGATAAGGCATCCATTGTCCTCTTTCTCTGCAAGAGAGTGTGACCAGTGAAGCAGAGAGGCCCAGTAGAGTGCAATGACTGAGGACTGATGGGCAAGAGGGGCCTATTTGGGATATTTATGAGCTGTGAGAGAGCTTGGGTTAAAGAGAGTGACAATTCATCCAAAGTTTCCTAACCCACAGGAGTTACTCGTTAGAGAGATAACTTAAAAACATAATGATTGTTGTAACAGTAATTGGATTGTGGGTAGGCCCAGTATTGAGTGCACTCCATTATTAATTTAGAATTTACCAAAAGTCATGGTAGTGATAAGAATTTAGGCTTTTATTGTTTTACATCATGAATTTTGCTCAAGATTTATTAAACATTTTGTGACGTATCTTGCAAAACTTAGGTATGTGTTAGGCAATTTTCATCAAGATCGTACATGAAGGATGCATAGCAAAGTCGTAGTGAGACGTCGACTCACTTTTTTAAAGTATTTGAATATATATGTGTGTATATATATATACTAGTGTTATTTAATCATTGAGTTAACTTTTTTATTTTTCTAAGTAATATAGAAAGGTGTCGTGTGAAGCAAACAATATAAAAAGTTGTCGTATAAAATTTTTATTTTATTCGATTGTGCAGAATTTAGTGAAACAATAGTCAATTAGGTTGAATTGTTGTATTTTTTGGGGACGACGCACTACTACATTTTATATTGTGTTTGTTTTCATAAAGCGACACAAATCGTCTTTAAGAGACAAGTCTACCTCTCATTCTACCCTTCACTTTATCTTTTGAATTCATTTTTTCAACATATAGTTTTGTACCAACACCAATTTATTTGGCAGCATTTGGGTTGCTAATTCCATGTTTCATTTACTATGTTTGTTTTGGGTATGGTACAATTATTTTTTAAGGTTAAATTATACTTTTTAAAAGTAAAGTTCACAACTGTTTGATGTAACTTTTAACCTCAAAAACAGAGTAACTTTAATTTCATCATTTTTATAATTATAATTTTTACCTCAAAAAATATAATTTAATTTAATTTCAAAAGATTGTACCATAGTCTTCCTCTGGAAGAAAAACACACAGTAAGTTTTTCTATGTGAAGAAAGCTTTTGCTTTTGGTCTGTTGTTCCTGTGGAGAAAGCAGAGATAAAGTAGGGTCCATTGCCTCATCTTGATTGCAGGGTGGTACGTTGGCCTTTTTGTGGCCTGTACGCATCTTAATAATGGCACAATGGACCAAATAATATCTGATTGTTGAGGTGCCCACCATGCATTACGTAGAAATTGACTGCAGGGTGGAAATTACACCTAAAAAAGATTTTTTGCCTTTACAATTTATAAGTGGTAACATCGTAGACAACTCTTTGGAATCAGGTTGGAAGAGATTTATCTTTAGTTCAATCATAAATGATCAATCTTTGATCGTACCCAAAAATTTATATTAATTAAAGTACATATAAATTAGTCCCTATATTCATTATCGTTTAATCCAAAAATAAGATGCAATTTGCATTGTGGATGACAATGGGTCAGATGGCAAATGAAATAGTACCCCTATTTAATGGGTTACTGGACAAGCTATGCTCTCTCTCTGGCTACATATATATCTAATCTGATCATGTATGCAAAAAATAGAAAGAAATACGTTCAAGTTTGAATCGCTTTCTAAACATGTCTTGAACATTTTTTTAACTCGCTTAAAAAATGAGTTCGACAAGCTCTACTCAAATTCGACGTGTGCGATTTGTTTATGTGTACGTAGTCGGGTTTTGTTCAAATTTGGCTCATTTAAAAAACGAATTAAATTTAAATAATTTTTTAAACTCATTCAAAAAAAACCAACTCGACAAACTAGATTCAAGACTCATTTGATTACCGACCCTAATTTTGAGTGATATAACCGATTCGAAGGCATAGGCTCTGTGCATGCTTTCTTTGAAAACTTTGAGAAAGAGAAGTATTAAACAAATCATACCGGATAAGAATATAAAAAATTCTTTGAAGGGTTAATTACATCAGAGGTCCTCAAAGTATGAAATTTGTCTCATTTTGGTCCTCAATATTTTAATTGCATTATTTTGGTCCCTAAAGTATTAAATAGTCATTCAAGCAGACAATGTTCAGATTCCTAATAATTTTTTATCATAAATTTGTCACGTAATACCTAAATATAGTCAAAAAAAATAATTTTGATAACTATTAAACAAATTTTGGGTAACTCTTGATAGAAATTGTGTAATAAGGATAGCTTTTGACCCAAATGATAAAAAAATATGTAATTTGGATAGCTATTTTGAGTAAAAATTTGGTCAAGAATTATTTAAATTATTTTTTATCCATATTTAAGTGTCACGTGACAAGTTTATGATAACAAATCGTTATAAAAATGGTTTCCACACACCTCTCATCAGTGATAAGGTTGATCCTCTTGATATCAAAACTGTGGAAAAACAGACATTTTTTAATCGCTATTACTATTTGTCACAAAAAAAAAAAAAAAGAAGAAGAAAGAAACAAAATGACCACTCAATGCAAGAAACTCCTGTCAATCTCTAGATCTTCGTATTTATACAGCTTTATCCCGCATGGAGAGAGATTATCATACTTATAATATCCACACAACTTGATTAGTGGGACATGGTAGTCCCTTAGAAGCTATGGCCAACAACAGTAAGATGACTTTCTTGTACATTTCTGCAGGTGGAGAAATCTTCTATTTTTTATTGCAATTATGGTTTTTAAGTCACCATCAATAATCAGATTTTTCATGCCATGATCATGCGATCCAAATAAAGCTTGTCAAGTATGTGGATATCAAAGTTTTAATGGTTCATTCAGGCAATGACATTATGAATTAAAACCAAAAATAAATGTTAAAGAGTACGATATAATTCAGAATGATATTCTCCAAATTATTGATTATTGAAAGATTCACACAAGAACATGTCATGTCTGAAACGAATTGACTTAAAGAAGGAGGAACACCATAAAATTTGCTAGCCTATATCTGTATGGTGACTATGGTCCTTGTGTTTTGGATGAGCAAACTTGCTGGCTATAGCCCATTGTAGCATTGCTATTCCTAGATATTTTCCACAATTCTATTAAAGGTACAGATAATAACTCAGCAGAAAGAAACCTGGCATTTCATCTGCATTCAAATTCAATTGGCAATACTAATTTCATATACACAATATTCCATCAATCTTATTCTTCAGATATGTATTACTCCCACTAACAAACTGCACTACATTGAACAACGATTCCCGCGATTCCCATGGTTCTAAGCCAGCCGCCTTCATCTTATAAAGAACCTTAACAGCCTCAATGCAGAACTCTCGTTGTATGTAACCTTTAAGCACTGCATTCCAACATGCAGCATTTCTCTTTACACCATTCATCTCAAACACTCTTCTTGCGCCTTTCACTAACCCAAATTTTCCATACATGTCAACAAGCACACAACTCTTCAATCAAAAAAAAAACCTACACACAACTCACAACTTTTTAAATTAACTCCTTGTTTTATCACATTGGATGGACTGGTCGACCACTGTCCCTCATCTTCCCACAAGCCTTGAGAACTGTAGAAAATGTAAAGCTATTCTTCTTCACTCCTTACCTTCCCACCTCATTAAACGTATAAATAACTTCGTCGAAACCATGTTAGCTGTCCACATAACCGTGTTGCGCTAAGCTGTTTGATCCATAAAAAACAAACTCAGAACCTTCTAAGCATCCCAATTTTCCATAAAAGTTAATCAGGGAGCTGCTCAGAAACAAATTTGTGGAATAGCCCGCTTTCAATACGACCACGTATTTGTCTCCCAAATCTCAATTTCATCATTGAAATGCAGGCTCAAAATGCAAACCACAATCCAAGAAACTGGGGATTTGAGGATTCCCTGGCTATGGTGATATTGGTGTTTTTTTTGCATTTTAATGAACATAGCTATAGCTTTTTCATACTTCTCATCCACCATACAACGGCAAATCACTACAGAAAGAGTTCAAGTCCTTAATGGGTATTTTATCAAACAATTGGCAGGCATTTCCAACAGAGGCGCGATATATACACCATCAAGAGAGTGTTAATCAGTGACAAATGGCGAGGAATGACTGTTAGGTTTATATGGGCATGCAATTCGACGGCTTGGGTGTAAGCTCTCGGTTTTGGCTCATTTTTTGATGAGGGAAATGTAGAGTGCGGTTCACCATTCACATTACACATTCAGTTGTGGCGCAATTCGACGGCTACGCGAAGGTTGTAGTGCGGTTCCCCATTCACATTACACATTTAGTTGTGTTCCTATTCCACATCAGTTAAAAATAAGACTAGATATATATATATATACTAGTCATAACTCGTGCCTGAAGATACGATAAAATATAAAATTTGAACATCCAAAGAATCGATCACACTATATTAAATTTTTTAAAATATATTAACTACAAATTAATTAAATATTAAATATATAATAAAAATGAATAGTGTGTATTTTTTAAGAAAAAAATATACAAATGATTAAATATGTTATAAAAATGAGTGATATAATTTGACGTTTGATTTTGACAGAGATGATGGGTGAAATAAGTGATTGGTTATAATTTTAAGGGAAAAAATATAACTGAAATAAAATTCAAACACACTCCTATATATATATATATATATATATATATAGTAATAAGCCTGATCAGAAATAATAAGCGAAACCTACACACAATTTCATTGTATTAAAGAGGTCACCTCCATCCACCTGTATGCACCAAAGCAGCCTGTAATATTTCAGGTAAATTCACTTAATTCTCTTTAGCAAAGGTCCAGAGAGTACAGGGAATGAGTGCTGTTCATGAAATCTGAAAAGCCAAGATCAGCTAGTTTCTGAAACAAAATGCATCCAACTCCTCCCAGCACACTGAATGTTGGATCTGCACATTTCGATTGCCCGTTATCTCTTTGGGGTAACCCCATTCATGAAAATTGGGGGGAATAATATTAAGGACACACGCTGACCATAGTCTCATTTGGTATATACCATTGCCCTTTTGCCCATAGAACCTGTATGGTGCAAACTTTGCAGGATGGATTCAACAGCTCCACAAAGGCAACAGATGGATAAAACCAGCCTGACCATGAGTGGAAGGTATATGCTGTACTCGCTTGCTCAGGAATAGCCATGTGTGTGATCTCACAAGGAAACAACCATCCACTTAATTTATCATCACTTGACAGCAGAAGCTGCATAGCCAGGACTGACTCTATTAGGTAAAGGTCTTGCAATGAGCCCATTGATGACCCAACCTGCCAGTTCCCCATCGTTTTTGACATGGTTGAATTCCCTTTGCACATACTCGAGAGATATTTTCAGCCTTTCCCCAGGTCTGCAGTCATCAGACCCGCTGCTTGATTCAATTCCCACATTTTTCTCCAACCAGTACAGGTAACTGGCATGGAACAATGACTTGAGCATATCTTGTGGCGAAGAGCTTTCTTTGAGTATTACCTGATCTAATCCAAAATCAAACCACAAAACAAAGTTTAAGAAACGAAACAACGGTAAGTTGGCTCAGACAACAACATCAACAGTAAATGGGCAAAACAAATGCGTAGCAGAAAATTGCTCATTGGTGTCCCCAAGCAAATAAAAAACTGACGCAAGGAAATTGATGCATGCATAAGAATTCTATTACACATAAAACTCATAAAAAATGACGTGAAAACAAGAAAATACGTGCAAATTTCCAATTTTTCATTACTATTCTGAGTAGTAGCCAATGCAAAGGGCCCTTTAACTTTCATGAGATATACTCACTTTTCACCTTATTGTAGGCGAGAGGGCTTGGGAAGCCCACCCACCCTATTTGCTAAAATCAGACTTCTGAGTTATCAAATTGAAATAAATGGAAAAATTTTGTGTGGGATAAATTGGCAATGTTTCACGTGGTCAAAGTGATCATCTGCATAATTTAGGATGTATGGTCTCACTGGGACTAATAATGCAGGGTCATAATAGCTTGTACTAAAGCCATGCCATTTTGGATGCGAAATTTCAGGACCTTACTCTCTTACAATGCAAGGACCTACAGTTGGACAAGTGGGAAATAAAAAAAAGACAGTTACAACCTAGTAATACACAACTGTGCTAAAAATTTATGTACCAAAATCAATAGACAAAACTTATTTCAAACATCTGATGCTGCCAACCTATCATATTTCAATTAAATGAAGCAGTCAGATAAAAGACTAGGACACAATATGAATACGCTCAAGAAAAGACTTATCCATCCAAGAAGTTCAACAAAAAGAAGATCAGGGACCCTTTGCTGGAGCAGTGAAATCTTATTTCAAGAAGTGCGTCAACAAATTTTATTGTGTTAAATCATGCATCATGATTCATGGGGATTTTCACTTTTGAGTTTCTGGAACTTTTCATACAAGACCACTTCTTGTGGTGGACTCAGCACTGGTAACAGGTATTCCAGATGTGAATGCACAGTTGAAGAGAATACTGATTCGGGTTGAAAACAACATACAATGCAAATTGTTGCCTCTTAAATAGCATGCTTACTTCAGTAGAACATAGAAATGTTTTCCAAACCACGGTTCTCTGCTTAAACAAACTAGGTGGTTGCATTCTTCTTATTTACCCAGGCCGATCCAACAATTCGTGACCCCTTAAGGCCAGCAATTAGCCACTGCCAAGGTTCATCCCCATTTTAGACGCTTCTCTTATGTAGATAATTGGCCTACCTTTTCCACTTCTGACTCCGTTGGGGATTTTATCAACCAGTGAACTTATTATTTCTCTTATTGGATTCAACACGTTCCCTTACAACTCGGGAAAAGTACAATCCAACAAGATAACAGAAGACATACAAAAGATGAGCATCGGTGAGAATAACATTAGAGTGGAGATACTCATGGTCCTGGAGGAGGTAAAAGATGCATATAACAACGGTCTAGATAATAGAGAAAACCCGAACAAAAGTGTGTATGAATAGAAGTGCCACTGGATATAAGGCACCAAGAAAAAAAGGAAGGCACCCCTCCTCCTGGCTCCGGCACTCGGTAAAGGTAAAAAAAATTAAACAGAAGTTTCTACGAACAAATGAAAAGATAGAAAAGATAAAGAAAAAACACATACAAAAATTAAATGTGTGAACCAAGATAGGTTTACTTACGCAAAATCTCCCATCATGCACGGTCAGAATGTAACCTTCATTTTTATACAGGTCCAATAGTGAGAGCACATCCTCCCTACTTTTAACAACATCAGAGAGCTTGGAACCCAGCTGCAACCGCCGCTCAATATTAGCAGCTGCATCTTTGGCATCCACAGATAATTCTTCCAACCGTGCCTAAAAGGAAAAACCACATCAATCGAATAGCTGAATTTGGATAAGATTACTCGGTCAAATTTGGGATTTGTGACACTGCCAGCTCAAGCACTTAGATCTCAAAGAAATAATATTGGTGACTCCTGCATGACATCTTAATAAGTTGCAGCAGTCTTCATGGTACACGAAAGAGCATCACATAGGTCTCGGTTATGACGCATTACTTAAACATATGCAAATTCAAAGCTCTGCCTTGTTCAGACTCAATTGGTTGATTGATGCGGGTGGCACTTACAAGAACATAGGTGAATTGAATTAGAACTTTCAGATGCATTGTGCTTTGAAATAAAGTTTTGGCTTGAGTCAAGTGCTATATCATGTTAATTTCAGGATAATAAGTTTGATCAAATTCTAGGAGTCGGTATTTTGGTGAGATTTTTTGAAGATGGATTCAAGTCATGGTTCATGGGATTTAATTCAGATCAAGCTATGCAATAGGGTCTTTTATATAATGGTCTACAACAAGATGAAGAAAAAAAAAAGTACCCCTTATAATCTTGTATTTTGTATTGGCCTTGCAACTCATACGTTGCTATCAGCGCTCTAATTTACGACGCTCGACAGGTTTACCTTACCCAAAAAATTATATATATATTTGACAGGTTTATTTTTTATAAGTTGACTGTTCACTCTATTCACCAGCATTGCTGTTCAATAGAAACTTCTATGGTGCACAGAGCGACTTAGGCTTAGGCAACTGTGATACTGAAACTTGTTAAAAATAGGAATGACAATTCAAAACATTTGAAACCAGCTGATAGTAAGTGTAGCATTACCGCAAGCTTATATGAATGACAAAAAATTAGGCACCAAAATATAACTAGTCATTCAAACATCAAAATAAAGCACATTACATTCATTTTCAATCCAATAAAGCACCTAAGCAATCCTACAAATATCTTGCAGAATAGCATGGGAGTACTTCAGATAGAACCCTCATATCAGCTTAAAGATCACCATACCTCGGAATTCACATGTTCTAAGCGTAAGAAGTGTACCTTAAAATACATTTCTGTGATCTGCCTTTCCGTGTCAACTATACATAAGATTCTACAATTCCACTCTAACTTGCATAAAGAGAATTAGCTGTGTGTGTGTGTATGTGTGTGTGTAAGTTGTAACCCAGTCTCTTCTGAGACTTCAACCTTTCACCTTCCCAGCTGGTGAGAGATACCATTCGAAAAAACAGCTGCTAGTGTTAAAAAAATTATATCACAACAAATAAAAGAGTCAAATGAAAAACAAAAGGAAGACTTACTTTATATGCCGGCTTCACATTTAGAAATGGTACAGCTGGAAAAAGTGGTTCCTCATCATTGACCTCTTTAACTGAAGGCATTAGGCCACTGAGAAGATACTCACTAAAGACCAAACCTGTTGAAATATAATCAAGAACATTGTTTTCCATTACATAATAAAAAAGATGAAATTTATGTCAAAATAACATGGCATCTACCTGCATTTCCAAAATTTTAAGGAGAATCCAATTGGAATACTCAATTGAGAAATCACTAATTTACCCTCCAAATTCTTTGTTAAAATTAGCTATAGCTATTTTTGTCAAAAATTGGCATAAAAATAATGAAGAGAAATCAGGCAATCGCCCCCTCCCATAGCCCCGTCCCTCACCCCAAATCCCCTCCCCACGCCCAGCCCCCTCCCTCCTCCCCACAACTCCTCCATTCGCGTTGCCGCTAAGGGTGGGAATCGAGTGGTGACGTGTTGTATTCATGGTGTGTCATTTTAGATTCATGTCAAAAACTAGTCAACTTTAACCCAAATTATTTATGAATAGCGTTGTATTCAGATCTACATGCAAAACCCATGAACTGGGGAACCAGGACTCGGACCACCATCTCTAAACCAAAACCACAACCCATTGACCCCCAAAAACTAAATTTTTACTTAATCTAGACACTATCAAAATTATATTTTAAAAAAACCTCTAATTCTACAAGAATTCATGTAATAGTAGAATGAAGAAATGAAAAATGAAAAAAAATAAAAATGAATAAATTTTTCCTCATAATATACAAATTCAACAAGTTTGTTGTGTTAAAATTGGATTATTCGTATTTGACACTACCCTGTCCCATTTATTACTTATGTTAATAGGTCGTGTCATTTTAAAGTTCATGTCAAGTAATAACCAACCCCAATTCTCTAATTTTGTGGTGGATTCATATTGTATTGCAGCATCATGTAAAAAAAATTCACTTTTACCAGCAACTTGCAGGCGCCCACCAAAGCCAAGAATTCTGACATAAATTTCATATAATACACTAGCTTTGAACTACTTAATCCTCAAGCAAACGCTACTACTAAACCCTAATTTTGCTATGATTTTTCCAGACATTGTTCTTTTGAACACTTTTAGAGGTTGTTTGGATAAAAATAGAGGAAACTTCCTGATACACCACATGTTACTAGACATATATTCTCATAATATTTTGGCCAAAGATCTGGAAAAAGGACACAACGAGATGAATATATTTTAATAGTCCAAAACTTTACACTATAATCATGCAACTTGAGGCTGAGTGCCACAATGTAATATTAAGCAACGTACTAAACAAAATAATAGTATCTAAAACCACCGCCCATAACATAAGTAAGATCTTGCACTTATTAAGGCGGCATACTCTTTCTTGTATTTGTATAGTAATCTCGCCTTCTCTTTCCTTTCTTTCATTTGCCTCAATTATTCATATCAGATCAAAAGGAGAGCTTCTCCTCGTTGGGGTTCTTGTTTCCATCAGTATAACTCAAAAAAAAAAACAAAAATTTACACACACTCGGGGGTAGAGTCAGAATGTTTTTGCGGTGGTCACAACTTATCACTTATTCATAAGATAAACCATAATGAAAACCAACAAATTGAAATAATTTATTCGAAATGTAAGCGGTCCAATTTAAAATATTATAATCTAATTTTCAAAAAAGCAAAAAATAGAAATCCAATTATCGAGAGAAAATTAAAAAGAACAGCAAATGACAACTATCAAATTCATCATGATTTTGCAAATAAATTGAGTGCTAACAATCGGTGCCTTGGTGTGAGGGAAAGAGAGAATTCGAGATAAAAGAGAGATTGAAGAGACGGTAACAACATTGAATCGAATGAAAGAAGCTTAAATCTAACTTTTAATTCATGCAAGAATCCAATTTTTTACTAAAATACAAGGAATTGTAATATTGGGTCTAAAAATCTATCCTAAATTGTTAAAGTAATATTATTCTAATTAAAATGCTTGGATTTATTCTTTGGAACCACATCACTTAACACATTATTAGGTTAGTAAATTAGTTCAGAATTTTAGACCTCGAAAGTGTTATTGTTATATAAAAGTAGAGATAAATTTAAACAAATTTTTAGTGGGGATATATTTTAAAAATTATAAATTTATAAAAATTTCAAAATTGGACTAGCGCCAATTGCCTCCGGTGCAAATCCGCCTCTACAAATACTAGATGCAAAACGTAACTCCCTTGCATTCTCCTTTCTCCTTCCACAACTTTCCAGCCGAATATACCATAAATAATAGTAAAGTTAACTATGACAGAGATTTTCATTTGTAACCAATTAAGAAAAAAGGGAGAGAGAATTGAAATAATTTTTTCAAGAGAGTATAACATCCCTTTAGTAGGCATATTTTTGTACAAGACTTTAAGAGGCATAGCATACCCCACATACGAACTAATAAGAGTAATAGACTACCAGTTACTTTAAAAGTTTAAGTTGTTGGAAAATAAACCCAAAATGTATATCTATCTCTTAAGTCTTAACCCACACACCCTCTCGAACCCCATCATGAAGTAGACATATAATCAAGTGCTTCAATATGCACAAATAAACGATGAAAATTGAGCATCAACATGCACTAGCTTAATGAGGGGTTCCAGACGTCAACAGTGAGGCTTGAAACCAATATGCCAAGGAACCATAGCTCAATATGGCACTAGAATGCCAATTACTCAAAAGCTTAAATTGTTATCTAAGAAGCAAGGATACGAATACGGATGTCCGATACGATACGAACACGGAGATACGACAAAATTTTAAAATATAGGACACGGATATGGCAAGGATACGTCTAATTAAAATAATATTATATATTTTTATATAAATAAAAATATTAGTAATACAAGCTAATAAATATTGAGCAATTGCTAATATTTTATAATTGGGCAATGAGTTAATATTAAATTAGATAGTGGGTTAATTACTGAATGTTTTAATTGAGTGGGCTAATATGAATATTGGGTTGATTATTAAATCTGTTTAAATGGAGAGAGAGAGCAAGAAAAAAAACGGGTGAGAAAGAGAAAGAGAAAGAGAGAGGCATGACTGATAAAAAAAATAAAAAAGGAAAGCCAACGTCTGACCCACACAAAACTTAGATTACAACGAAAGAGATCACAGATCAGATCCAGATCACAGCGAGAGAGAGATCGCACATATCCAGATTGCATAGATCCAAGTCAGACAAGGAAGAAGAAGAGGAATAATTCTTCGACATACCTAGCCAAATTTAGATTTGTGACTTTCAGATCCGTGTTTGAATAAGAGATGGAAGAAGTGAGGTACCGTATCCTTCTCATATCCCTCCCGTATCCTTTTTTTTTTTTTTTTTTTTGTTCAAGACACTTGTGAAAGTATCGGGCAAGTGTCCAGCCGTGTCACACACTTATCTGTGTGGGCATGTGTCCAACACCGCCACATGGACCATCCAGGAGTATCTTCTTTTCATGTCCTTTCTCTTTTTATTCAATCTCTACTGAAATATTAAGTATGTCTCCCAATTTTAGAATTCACACATCATACAAAAAACTCTCAAAACTGATCGAGTCGACAGCCATAAAACATAAGGTTAGGTTGTGACTTTCCCTGTGCTTCACTTAGGTACAAAATGCTAAAGCCTAATCCACTGTCCTACCATCTTGAAACCTTTAAAACCCCAAAGCCTCCCTCTCATCTTCTTATGGGTCAATGATGTTAGCACGCAGTATAGAACTGCTTCATATAGGACAGCAAGTGTTTGGCTAGCAATATCACAAAAACATTGTTAAACTGAAATATAAAGAAGAAAGGAAGTACTTGCACGATATGGATTTAAAGTCCTTAGTTGAATGGATTGATATGACTTGAGATTGCAGAACATGTGGATCCAAGTCACCACCCCAAAAGAAGCAAGAGCAAGGGGTGTAGAAGAATGAATGCAATTAGCTAATGCTATGCCAAGCATGATTCCAATAGATTTGCTCACCATTCCCTGAGCTTCACCCTTTGCAATTACCTGCAATCAATGACTCCCTTAGAAAGATAATGCAACTAGGTGACCGACACTAGAGGACAATAGCACAAATCGAGAAAGATAAAAGGTCAGAAGCAGCTAATCGACACGAAGACAACGCCCTTTATCTGTCAATACCAAATAAATGTCAATCGATGAGATTAGGAGGTTACCATGATCGTGTACCACTTATGCAGTTAAAATTAGTAGAAAATTGGTTCCAAAGAGAAGATTACCTCGGCAAAATTCCTCTGAGCAGCAAAGCCTGCGTAGAAACAGCTCCGAGTAGAAGCCTGTCAAGTTAAGAGTTTCTCTTTTAGGAAAAATCAATCTTATAACAGACCACTTACATGAGGAGTTGATATAATAGTTCAAGTGTAGTTTACAAAATCCAGGACAATCGATGCACAGAGTGACATAAATGGGCCAAAGCATGCAAGCCAATACTGTCATTCAAGCAAATTTAAGCATGACAAGCAAACTAAAAGAAGAACGCAACTCAACTGAAAACTGCCTTACCCCAACAACTACTTGGTGTCTGCATCATAAACCCTGTCTCTCCATTCTATAAAGTAAAAACATGGTATTTTCCCAAATGTGTTCCTTATTTCCTTAAGGCCCCGTTTTCATGACAGTTACATAGACAATGAATGGAAGTCTCATTCCTAAAACCCTAGATTAAAATTTTTAATTAGTCAACTAATTGGTACACCGGGTTAAAAAAAAACTGATCAGTATTCTAAATCAGAAAAAATATCATTATTACAATCAAATTCTCAATAATGGTGGTACTTTATACTACTGTCAATGCTGGTTATCTTATACCCAACTTGATTTAGTATTCTAAAAAGTTATTAAAGTGTGAAAATCAATCTCCTTCCTGATATCAAGCTCTCTTCACTTTTCTCCTATTTAGACATGACATCAAACTGTCTTCTTGAGTATTCCAAAAATGAACCAAAACTGGAAACATATTTGTGAAGAGAATAATATCGGATTCATAGTGTATTTTTACATGCCTGTTCAAATTAATTTGAATTGAAACAAAAAAAAAATCATGGAATGGATGTTAATTTCCGTACAAAATTACTAAAATAACTGAATATTTAAGTATAATAAGATTATAACGATAGTAGTAGAAACCCAGACACCACTCCACTGGGAATGAGATATTCATTTCCAAGTCCCAACTATGATTACATGACAACCAGGCCTAAATTCCGCTAGGAATAGGATCCATATAATGCTGATATATTTTTTATTAAATCAGGCTACTAAATCTTAGAACAATAATTTTACAAAAGACCACAGTGATATAGCTAACAACAAAGGCACAAACATGTAGCAGAATTGTCCAAGTTACCTGGATTAGTGCAGCTGCCGATCGTCCTGCTCCAGCAGCAGCACCAATTGGAACAAAGAGATGGGGAAATGCAGGAGTTAAAATCTCCATTCCATAAGCAGCATTTTCCAAAAAGTCCGCAAACAACCTCCACCCCTTTGGATTTACATCAAAATGCCTTCCAAAATTCGACAAAAGGATTTTGCTCAGATACCCAATTCCATCCTTCAGTACCCAATTTACAGCTGCCGCAGTTGGAATAGCCCCTTTACCCAGTCCAACAGCATAAAGCAAAGCCTGTACGAAACAAACATAACATGGAAAATATAATATAGCAACACCACATATAAGTAAACAAAACAAACACGAGCCTCAAGGCTCATCAAGGGATTCACTAAAATTTTTTAAGCTTGTCATGCATCAATTTTATGTATCTATCTATCCCACCTCAAGTGAAATTCCAAATATTTTGAACACAATCCGTTCGTATATACAAACATAAAATGATTATAAAATTCAACAATAGCACCAACCTACTTAAAAAATATATCAGATGGTAGATTGTTTCAATGTGACATAATATCAATTATCAATCTCTATTAGCACAATTATTTGAAGTTTTCACAAGTACCTGAGTGGCAAGAACGCCACTAATTTGGGCGGCGACACCCTGAACCCCTCTCCAAAGAGAATACTCCAAATAATCACTAGTAACACTATCAGGAAAACCCTCAGGAAGCATCAATTTCATGAATAAATCCCTCCAGTGCGTCCACAAATTCGGAATGCCATTCCTAAAAGACAACAAAGATGTCGATGGTGGAATAACAAACGCATCCTTAAAGTAATCAGGGATTAGCTTGATTCTCTTGCCACCCTTCACTTCATAAACAATTTCATCCTCGTCTTCATCGTCGTTAGCTCTCGCTTGCGCCGAAGATATCACTTGGAATTGGGTCAAAAAACACAAGGCGGATACAAGGAAGAGGAAAAGTTTTTTGTGTGAAATAAGGGTTTCTTTTTCATGGGCTAGTAATCGAGCGTAAAGAAAGAAGAGAAAGTGATCGGTTACATTCCCACAATTCTTGTCCCATGGCCATGAGTCATCGGAATTGAACGGATTGTTCCAATTACCACTGCCCCGCCGCCGCCTCTGCCACCGCCATTGACATTGTTGTTGTTGTTGTCGCTGTCGCCATAGTCAAAGTTTTCACTGCCGTCAGAGTGTCCAAGGAATGAAGAGTGAGATGAAGAAGAAGATGAACTAGGGTTTTCTAGGGTTTTTGAATAAAATGATTTAGAAAGGGTTTGTAAGTTGTATTGGGAAGGAAATGGTCTCCACTGCTGACGGCGGCAGGCTGTGACCATGCGAGAGGTAAAAGAGGTGGTTGTCGTGGGGGCGACGGCGAGGGTGGTGGGATGGAGTTGCAGGAAAAGCATGGTGATGGTGGGTGGAGGCGGAAGAGTGATGGTAGAGCAGGTATGTGCCCCGGCAAGGAGGGGTTTTAGGCGCAGTCCATTTCTGACTTTGTGACGCCGCTCGCGCCTATTTTCGTTTTAATGGAGGCACTCGTGCCCGTGACTGCACGTGGGTTGGTAGCAAATGAAAAGTTAGAAAGATAAAGGGGATGTTTGGATAACGGGACAAAATTGAGCTAGGTCTTGATTAACCCATGTTTGGGGAAGTAAACATGGTGTTGAGATATCTTATTTGGGTCTACCAAAACTTAATTTATATAGTGATATTTGTCCATTATCTAGGGATGGGTTAAATTTGGGATCAGTGGGATTGTTTGGCAAAAGACTATTGTACCTCTTATTTTCCAAAAAAATTAATTATATATAAGGGATATAATGGTAAAATTCAATTAAATTCTTTTTTTTTTCAAATCATGGGATAATCGATGCACATAAATTTATATACATTTGTCAAACATGAGATCGATTAGAAATGTATTTTTTTCAAGTCAATGCACCAAGTAGTATTGTATTGAATAAGGTTGGATCTGAAAGGATAAATTTTTTTAAGAGTAATGGTAAATAGACTTAAATTCTAGATTTAAAAATTAGACTTGATAATCTCAACTATTGAATAAGTAGTGAAACTCAATAAATGCTAGGACCCATAGTGAATTCAATGATTGAGATTATCAACTATACTTTTTAAGTTCATATAACATTGCTCTTTTTTTAATCTTATGTCCATTCCCAACCAACCATCCAAACAACTCTTAATTTACATCTAACTCCCTTAAGATTTGTCTAAATAACATCTAGAGTAAAAATTTAATGTAATATTGTACTGTATCACTATTTAATAATAAAAAAAATTGAACAGATTTAATGCTAAATTAACAAGTGAACAAGGTTATTCTCACTTTTTTTGTGCGGATAATTATTAAAAACATACTATAAAACAATGAGCGAAACAAACTAAAGAGAAACTGGAAGAAAATGATTAAAAGTGACCAAAAAAAAAAAAACCTTATATTCTAGAACCTGTTTTACTACTAAAGGGATTTAAAAGGGGGAACTCACTAAAAGGCACTTCTTCTCCATGTTTCCTATTTTTTCGTTCTTTTGTCTCCAAAAAAATCCTAAAACATCTTTTGGTTATTTCCTAAAACCAATCTTTTGTTCTCCATTTTTTTTTCCAAAATTCAATTTAGTAGTCAAGCCATTTATCCTCAATGATATCTAGCAAGTTTTGTTATTTTAGTTAACTTTGTCCTTAAATTAATACCAAATTTAATTCTTTTTGTCAGTTATATCACATTTATTACAAATTCAAATTAAATCTATTAATTTATTTACTATGGATGATACACAAATTAGTTTGCACGCCACCTATCAATTATGCAGTAGAAAATGCAATAAAATAAGTAGAGAGAGAAGACAAGGTTTATAGTGGTTCGATTAACGTGGCCTACGTCCACTTTGAATGGCAACGGTCGTCGGTATTTTATTATCTCTGGGGTGGAAGGAGAGCAGAATGTTACAAGCTTTGAGAGAGGAGGAGAGAATAATGCTCAAATGAGTGAGATGCCCCCAAGTGTTGGTGGAGCTTACAATTTATAGTGGCTTAGTGTAATAATTGCATAGTTAGTCGAACGGTCATAACGGGTTGGTGTGACTTTAATAGTGATTAAATAGTTTGGCGACCTCTACTCTCTCCTCAACGGTAAGAAAGTTTATGATGCTCTCCAAGCGATGGGGGTGAGGCTCTTGGACGCTCTCTTGGTGGTGTAGAGGAGACTCCAGATGACCTTGCATGCTCCATGTTGACATAACTCCTTGAACTTGATGAGTTTGACTATACCGTTCACATTAGGCTGAACTTGGTAGACCTCTTAGAGTTAGGCCTTAAAACTTGGACCAGGCTTATAACATGAGTTGGACCGTTGGGCTTGGTCCATCATTTGCCCTTCAATGCCCTGCATTTAAGGAACTTAGAAAGGAGGGCATTCAGTTGAGTTTGAATTTTTGATCGAACAGCAAAATTAGAAAAACTTCGAGAGGCCAAAACATATACTTCCAGGCCTTTTTTGGGCATTTTTCAGCATCATTCATAGCCAAAGGTAATGACTTTTGTAGAGCTCTTCGAGAGTTTTGATTTAACATATTATGGGCCCCATTTAGAGTTTTGGATAAAAAATTACAATTAAAATAGCGTACACATCTCTTAAAATCCGAATTTTTCAAAAAATTCTCTTGATTGGCGACCCCATCACTTCCAATAGACTCCTTTTGTTGTAGAACACCATTGACTATTTAAACTCTTTTCTTCTCTTCCTTTTTTGGATTCTTGAGAATTCATGGGGTGCAATTTGAGGCTTTTGGGTTTTTTACTACTCCAAGAAAATTTTAAAACCCTAGGTTATAAACAGTAGTTTTTTCTTCATTCCCCCCATTTCATTCATTCTTGAGAGCCCAAGTTCTATCCATTCCATAGAAACTAGCAACTTTGAGAGGATGAATGGAGGTGTTCCTTTAAATCTTTTCAAGAACATTCTGTTGATATTTTTTGAGTGAAGCATCCAAGAGGGCAATGTCAATTGAGGAGGGAGATGTGCAAAACTCCATGGAAGTCCATGGGAATGGGGTGATCGAAACCGAGGTAGGTGACCATGGGGGGCCTTCGGAGTGGTGGAGATCGAAGGAGGCGAAGTGGAGACGAAGACGAGGACCCCGCTGCTGGGCCAACAACGACTAGCGCGAGCAGTGGCTGGGTGAGCGACGCCTGGGCGAGCAGAGGCATGTTTCAGGCACTGATCTAGGCCAGCAAGGAGGAGGAAGTAGAGGGCAGGCACCAAGAAGGGCCATTTTGGGCGAGCACAGGGGCTTGGGTACCCCTCCAAGCGTTAGGCTGCCCCATTTGGGCGCCACTCTTGATAACGATTTGACTCCTCTAAGCGTAACTTCTCCAACCAACATTTCTCAAGACCTCCTGGGCAGTGGGTCAGGCAACTCCTTATGTCCCCGTAACAAGAAGCACAAAGGCAAAGTGGCCCTCGATGATGACGGGTCTAAAGTGAGTTCCATCTCTAGCACTTTAAATTCTGATGCTGACATCTTGAAAATAGTTTCCGCCTACCACATTCCTCCGACTGTGCTATGCCGTCGAGCTGAGATGGGCGAGCCTACCTCTGATGACTCCTCTAGTGACATTGTCGTCTATGAGGAGATGCTGGATGCTGGGCTCAGGTTCCCCATATCTCCTCCTATTTGCAGTATTCTTCACTATTTTTCTCTCACCCTAGCGCGATTGTCTCCCAATGGTTGGAGAGTCTTGTTGGATTTTCTTATATTATGGAGAAAGGTGCATCATGAGGAAGCTTCTCCTATGGAGTTCCACACTTTCTTTTCTTTAGAGCAGTAGATAGGGAGATGGTTGAGTTTCGTCTTTCTAGTAGGAGTCCTCCTCCTTCTAAGGTGGTAAGGATAGAGGATGCCTCCCAAGTGACCTCTTCAACTGTGCCACCTGAGGTGAGCTCTCCTTAGTTAGCCCCTCCACCTCGAGCACCCTCCCATCAAGTGACCAATCCAAAGGTGCCTCCACGGTCAGAGGCTCCTACAACTGCATCTCCTGCCCCAGAATCTCATCTAGAATCTCGTTTGTTGGCCACACCTTTTGTCCCCTATTCATCCACTCTTCCCGTGGGGACTTCTTTTAGGGCATCTTCTTAGATTAACTTCATGCTGGGTAACACGCAGGTCATCAGGGATCAGCTTGGGAAGTTTTTGTTCACCAATGATGTGAATGGGATCAGTGCCTTAGGCACCGAGGGGATCCTCAACTCTTTCCTAGAAGGCTGGGCTTAGATAAGGGTTTGTTCTCTCCTCTTTCTCCCTTCCTTCCATAAGTTTCTGACATTCTTTTACCTTCTGTTTCTCTTCAGGCCTCCACTGCAACTATGTGTTTATTTTCAAGGACCCTCCTTTATCACAAGCTGAAACACGATCATGAAGTGGTACAAAATGAGTTTCTTGCTGCCCAGAGGAGGATCATTGAGCTTGAAGCTATTGGCAGGGCTTCTGATGTTGACCTTGTGGCAACCCGCGAGAGGGCAGTTGGTCTTGAGACTGAGTTTTTGGCGACTCATGAAAGGATGGCTAGGTTCAAGAATGAGCTTGCAGAAACCTGTGAGAAGGCCACGCTCGGTGAGGCTGAGCTTTTGGCGTCCCATATGAGGGCGGCCAAGCTCGAGGCTGAGCTTGCAGAGGTTCGTGAGAGGGTCAGACTTAGTGAGGTTGAGCTTTCAGCAACCCATGGGAGGGCAGCCAAGCTCGAGGTTGAGCTTGCAGGGGTCCGTGAGAGGGTCATGCTCAGAAAGGCTTCTGTAGAGGCAGAGGTGAAGGCAGTTCATAAGATAGCTTCGCAAGTTGAGGAGAGAGTTGTGATAGTTGAGGGAGACTTTGATAATGACCTTTGCAGATGCCTTCATTGACGGATATGAGAAGCTTCAAAGAAAGATTTCAGTTGTTTTTCCTAATATTGATGTCTAAGGCTTCTTGCCAACTGAGGTGCCTGATGATAGTGATGAAGGTTCCGACGATGTCGAGGGTGATGAGGAGAAGAAGGATGACGACCATGAGTAGTTAGCATGCTAGAGACATTTCTGATTTTTTTTTTTTTGTGAAAAAACATGTAGCCATCTTTTTGTAAAAGTGATGTTTGCCACTAATGCTACTTTGAAGTTGACAAGTTGAATATGAAAATGCAAAGATTTTTTTTGAAGTAAATCTAGAATTTTTATTCATTTTTTGCTTATATAAAGTCATATCGAGTAATAGCCCCACAAAAGAGTACAAAAAATAAAATCAAGTTTTCAACTTTCCTACTCTCTTAAGGTGTCACTGATAGTATCTCTTCAGGTGCTCAGCATTCCATAGATGGAGCAAAACCTTCCCTTCAGAACTTTGTATTTTATAGGTGCCCGACATCACCACTTCTGTTATAAGGTAGGGTCCCTTCCAGTTTGGTCTCAACTTTCCTTCTCGTGAATCTTTTGTAG